GATATAGGCTGCAGTAGCAGCTGCTTCAGCCCAGAAACTTTCATCTAAGCCAGACTCATTCAATAAGCATCTCACTTTCTCCATGATAGTACGATTCATTCTTTCAGCAACACCATTCTGTTGTGGTGTATAAGTGCATGTCCTATGCCTTTCAATACCATGGGTTTTGCAATAACTGTCAAATCTAGTATTACAAAATTCTAACCCATTATCTGTTCTCAAACACTTAACCTTTCTATCCACCTGATTCTCTACCAGTTCTTTCCATTCACAAAACTTCTCAAATGTTTCATCCTTAGTCTTGAGGAAGTATAACCAGACTTTTCTAGTCTTATCATCTATAATAGAGAGAAAGTATTGTTTACCTGATAAGGAGGGAGACACGTTTGACGATCCCCATAGATCTGCATGAACATAACTCAGAGCATCTACAGCATCATGCTTTCCCACATTGAAGCTTAGTCTTTTAGACTTTCCCATTACACAATGTTCACAGAAATCTAGTTCCTTGATTTCTTTACCATTCAACAGACCCTTACCAGCAAGAACTTTCAGGTTGTTCAGGCTCATGTGACCTAACCTGCTATGCCACAGGGCAGTTTTGCTCTTTAAATCCACAGCAGTACAACTTTCTGTCATTATTGTCTCACCATCAAGGATATACAATCCATTCATCAACTTTCCACATAGTGCCGTAATCTGATTCTTGAAGTACCTGACTTTACCTGCTCCACCTTGATGTTGGTACCCCAACTTGTCAAGTGTTCCTGTGGAGATTAGATTCCTTCTTAGATTAGGCACATACTTGACATTATTCAATACCTTGATGGATCCTCCGTGAGTATTGATTCTGATGGAACCTTGTCCCTGTGATTCTACTGAGTGATCATCTCCAAGTAATATAGTTGTGGATCCATTCTCTTGAAAATTACAGAACCAGTCTCTTCTAGACGTCATGTGTGATGTACACCCTGAGTCAAGAACCCATAGATCCTTAACCAGCTGATCATTCACACTTAGTGCTTCAGAGAATACCAGTTTCTCTGTGATGACCCCAGCTTCACCTTGTTCCTCACTTTCCATCTTCTTCTTTCTGGCAAAACAATCCTTTTTAACATGGCCCTCTTTCTTGCAGAACCAGCATGTAAGCCTAGTTTTGGAGTTTGACCTGCTCCTACCTCTGCCTTGTCCATTCTTCTGATTGTTCCTCACTTGTTGCCTACCTCTCTCTGTAGTATACAAGACTGTTGAAGGGCTTCTCTCAAGTTCTTGCAACTCATCCAGCTCTCTTTCCAACGATTTAGCAGAGGAGATAACATCTTGCAGTGACAATGCTTTATTCCCATACTTCAAAGTATGCTTCAACTGCGAGTACCTAGATGACAAACCATTCAAGAATAGAATTGCACGAACTTCTTCACCTACCACAATCTCTAGACTGCTTAATTCAGCAACAATCTTCAAGAATTCGTTCACATTCTCATTAATGGTCTTTGAATCACTCATCTTGAATGAGTAAAACTTAAGCTGTACATAGATCCGATTAGGAAGGGAGGTTTCCATGTATAGCTTGTTCAATGTCTCCCACATCTCAGCTGCAGTCTTACAGTGATCAATTTTTCTCAACACCGCATCACCAACATGAGCAATTATTCTATTCATTGCTTGTTCCGATTTCTCAATCTTGTCAAGATCTGGAACTTCCTTTGTTTGTGATGATTCCGTGACATTGTCACCCTCCTCAATCTTCTTTCCTTCAGCTTTAGTAAGAGGAACTGTCTTCGTCAATGAGAAATCATCAATGATACCTTTAAGCCCAGCTAAACCCAGATGAGCTTTCATCCTCGTCTTCCATAGCGAGAAATCGGAGTTCTCGTTAAAGACCTGAAACGAAGCCTTCATGATCGTAGTCGTACCTGTGTCGTTCGCCATAACCCTCAAGAACCTGGCTCTGATACCAATCTGTTACGATTTAATAACTTGTAACTCAACTTGATCTCAAGATCCTTTAGCTCAAAGCTTCACACAAAACTAATTGTTCAAAGATTCAAAGATAGAGATCGAAGAAGACGACACAAACAAATTGTTTACCCAGTTCGAATCATCGATATGATGACTCTACGTCTGGGGCTGGATTCAATCCAGCAATCCACTATATGAATCAAGTGTTATCCTCAAGCTCAAAACCAGAGCTGAAGAATCGATTACAAGAGAAAGAGATTGAGAAAATTTCTGTTACAAAAGAAAGACGAAGAAGAAGACCATTTATAGTCATCACCAACAACCGACTTAGTCAAAACCCTCTTGAACAAGCAGAGTCTTCTAATCCCATTGCAATTCTGATTTCTCCCTTCTTTAACCAATGCCAAACCGACATTTAACCAACCCCTTAACCAGCTAAACCAAGTCGACATCAAGCTTAACCAGAAGAGTTGGATCACACCTTCACATTATATTTTAAAAGTCTAGCCGAAGCTCCTCTTGCCTGGGCTCATGGTCGGCCTTGTTGTTAACCCTTTTTATGTGGTCTATAAAATGTTTTTACAACTTGTGTTTTGAAATTGAAGTACTTATTAATAAATATTATCTACTATAATGACAACTCTTCTTGAGCAATTCTGAAAGTTTATATAATATATATGATCACTGGAATAGCATTTTATAAAAATGGTCATAAGAAACAAATGTATGTTTCGATTGCCTAATAAAATGCGTCAAGTATCGTGACGAATGAAGTTTGAATGTCGGTCCGTAGGTTCTTAAGGACAATCAAAATTCTTGCAAGGAGTCTCCCAGCAATACCCTAGATCACGATCACACAAAGTTCCAAATTGAATACGACTTTAGAAGTGAAGAAGTGAAGAAGATGAAGTAAAAGTCCTGTTTCTAACTACCTTGTTACAACATGAAGCAACAAAACATTTGGTTTCGTTTATATTAGGAAACCAAATTTAAACCAAGACTCTTTAAATTCTTTAATCAGTTTCAATCAGGGCCGGCTCAATTATTTTGGAGTCCCTGTACAAATTTTAAAAATTGGTCCTTTCTTCATAAAAATAAAATTAAAAAAATGGGCCTTTTTCATGTTAGAAAAATCTTAAAAATTGGCCTTTTTCATATTAAAGAAAATATTTGGGTTTTTCTCATGCTAAAAATATCTTAAAATTTTTTAAAATTACCATTTTTTCTTACTAAAAAAAAATTTGGACCCTTAAATTTACCCCAAAAAAATTTGGCCTTGTACATTTGCTCCACAAGCACACCCTATACGCCGGCCCTGGTTTCAATTGAACCAATGTCCCCAAGCTACATGTTATACCATGCAAATCTGTTCTTTGTAAATTGTCTTAAACCTTAACTTCTAGTTCCACACCACTCACCATAACTCTGATTCTCACCCAAAACCAGAAATAAACTTGTACTACTGCCAAAGGCTTATGAAGCCCAACAACAAATATTGGCCCACATAACAAGCCCAAAGCTCACACATAGCATCCACGTGGCACGTAGTGATTTTTTCTTATTAACAAGCTTAGTTGTTCTTTTACTGTAATTATTTTCTGTTCTTTTCCAAAAAAAGATATAGAGGCTGCGAGATGTGAAAGAAAAAAGTGAAATTGTAAAAGAACACGTGCGTCTTCCAAAATCTGTCTTAAGGGTTATAATATTCAAACCTTTGATCTCTATGATAATTGTCCAACCTTTTCTTTTTTACTTTGTGCTTTGAATGGTCAAACAAACATGGACTACCAACAGTAAATGGTGAGCTACTTTTGTTTTCCTATTTGAAAATGATTAATAATTGGCAAATGGTTTCAACTTCAAACCTTGGAGAATAATCATCAAACACGTTTGCGCTTATTGTTACCTTCTACAAGGATTAAAAAGTTTGACCAAAATTCATATGAATATTCACTGACGTCCCAAAACAAACCATGGAAATTAATTTACTTTCCACTAAGCCAAGGAAGCAAAAAAAAAAAAAAAATAGCAATATACGTCATAAGTTATATCCACGCAATTGGTATTTATTCAATAAAAGTATAAAACCAACAAGAAATGGTATTTATTCACCATGCAATCGGTATTAACCATATCTCCCAATAGTGACATCAACATCTTTATTCTTTGTTTGCAGGAATGGAACGAAGAACCGATTCAAGCTATTATACTTCTCTTTTTTTCCAACGTGTAACTAGTCAATAAAAATCGATGGTCCAGAGACAAACTCGTATATACAAAATTCGAAAAAGACTTGTAGTGTGTTTAAGAGCCAATCTAACAATTTTATATGTGTGGATTCAAAGATAGTAGACTTTGATTGATCAATTCTGTATTTATTATAGCACGGATAAAATGACGTTAGACAAAAAGAAAAACGTAAACCTCATATGACGTTCGGATAAAAGAAAAACGTAACACGTATGTGACGTCATTCTAGAGATTCATTCGTTTGTAATAATCTTCCACAATCCCATTAGTAAAAATTCTGTAATAATCTTCCACAATCCCATTAGTAAAAATTCTGTGTTCGTACGTCGGTCCATGCATCGTTTTTTTTCTTCTTCTTTTTAATCTACTTCAATAAATTGTGAAAAGCAGAAGAATGAGTAATTGATTCTTACGTCAGATCACCAATAAGTCTATAATTTACTAGAAAATGTTTATTAATGCGCATTTTTGAAGCACTTTCAATAGTATACGTTCTTGTATATATCTAATCCTTATCCATATATATATATATATATATATATATATATATATATATATATATATATACATTGATTATTACTCGTGAAAATCAGTTAATAATCTTGAGAAAATTGCCTTTAGATATATGCATATCTTTTAAGAAATTATAAGATTATGGGTACATATATAAAACATAATGTTACAAATGTAATTATGTAAAATGCCTAATCCTTACGTATCGTCTACGACACTACCCATCTTTAACGATTAGCAGCGGGCCGCCTCTTCGTCTTTGACTTCATTGTCTGCCATAAATATGTCTATATATTTTAGACTAAACTTTAATATGTTTTCACTAAATATCTTAACAAAGTCCAATCAATTATCAAACAAAAAGAGAGGAAAAAAAAACCTTCTTCTTTTGGTATTCAGGTGGATTGGTCTGTCTTACAACAAGATTCCACAAACAACTAGGAATATGGAGGGATATGATAATGGGTCGTTGTATGCTCCGTTTTTGTCGTTGAAATCTCATTCAAAACCGGAGTTGCATCAAGGCGAATTAGAAGAGGGCTCAAAGGTTAGATCAGAAGGTTGTTCGAGAAGCGTGGAGTCGTCGAAAAAGAAGGGGAAGAAACAAAGGTATGCGTTTCAGACAAGGAGCCAAGTGGATATTCTTGATGATGGTTATCGATGGAGGAAATATGGCCAAAAGGCCGTCAAAAACAACAAGTTCCCTAGGTTCTTCTTCAATTCTTCCTTCTTAATTATCCGTTGTTTACAATTGCTATATATATATTTTCTAATATTGAACATATATAAAGAATGAGATAAGAGTTAGACATAGTATGCTTTAGCCAAACTCGAATCAACCTAGCTCCAACTAATGTATATATATGTATCACTCACATAAGCCCTAGATTGATCTTAATTAGTACTAGTTTGCATATATGGTTTGATTAATTTATCGTTTTCATCTTAGCGAGATACAGGATCTATTTGTTTCTCTATCTAATAATTAATCAACATTTAAATATACTTTTGGTCAACAAATCATAGAAATATGCTTTTGTGTGTGAAGAAATTTGATGATTAGTTACTCTTCTAAAAGATTCCATGAATATATATGTATTCGATTCACATCTAGTCTAGACTGATCTTAACTAATTAATTTGGATATGGAAATTGATTTGATTAATTTCTTTTTATATTTATTTTGCTAGTCTATCTAACAATCAGGGTAGTCAGTGATTAAAAATGAAAGTCGTCTTTTGGTAAAAAAATTTTAAAATTTGGATTTGGGAACAAATATGATAGTTAATTACTCTTCTAAGAGATTCAAAAACATTTATTTTCATATCGAGAAGTGAAGTGTTTTGAAATATAACTAATGGTTTATACATATAAATGAGCAGGAGTTACTATAGGTGCACATATGGAGGATGCAACGTCAAGAAGCAAGTGCAAAGGTTAACAGTGGACCAAGAAGTGGTCGTGACAACCTACGAAGGAGTGCATTCGCATCCCATTGAGAAATCCACCGAAAACTTCGAGCATATTCTCACTCAAATGCAAATCTACTCTTCTTTCTAATTGTTTTCTCAAATCTTTTATACCTTAATTTGGAGCCTATAATTCTTAGAGCTCATGTTGTAAATTATTAATAAAAATTAGAGTGTATATATTTTACGTGTGTTGAAACAAACTCATGCATGTGATCAACTGGAGTTTGTATCCTAATAATTTCTATTAAAGTTTTCAAAATTGAGCGTAATTTATTACTGACATAAGCATATAATATAATACACAAATTAAATCCTAACAACGGTAAATAAAAATATTATTTCAGTAATTTGAGAAACAATAGTTAGGCGTTAATTAGATATGTCATAGTCTCTAACCACCCACTGAAAGTTGTAAGAAAACTACGAGGTATTTTGGAATCTGAAAGTTAGTTGGATGAATGTCAAGAAAGTAAAAAAAAAAAAAAAACAATGGAGAAAGAAAATGACTTACAATTCTTAAAATTAAATTTGTAACAAAATAAACCCATTTTTCTATGCAATTCTGCTATCTGCATTGATGGAATTGAACAGTGATAAGGTCACAGACTCAGTCCTTCAGCATCAGTTCTTGAGTAATCCGCTGTCTTTTTCTTACAACACAACAATATATTTGCATGTAAGTATGTAACCAGCTTCGTGTAAATCTATGTAACTGAGCCTGAAACCTTTACTTTCAATATATAAGATGGAAACCACTAATTCTAATGGATCCCATCTGGATTTAGATTCAAAATTTGGACAAAAGCTTAACAATTCAACATTCAGTTGCTAACACAAAAACAGGAGTTGCTAATTTGATCTAAACTGTTCCATAAACTTATTATTACCATGCTCCAAAAACTTAGCCTTTTTGACTTACAAAACATTCAAGAATCAAAAACCAAGAAGATACTGGAATCTAAGAAGTTTGGATCTTTAGATCCGAGCGGATTCTGCTTCCATATACTTACAAATCCTCTCCATAACCTCTCGTCCTTTAACGCTATTCTGCATGAATTTCTCGGCGCACTTTTGTTCAACTTTCTCAGCCATTGAGGCCAGAGCCGACAAGGGTTTGATCCGAATGCTTGTCTCCTGGCTACAAACAGTCCAGGCCGACGGATTTTCTGGATGCGGATCATATCTTATCCTCTCCTCCACTTCAATGAACTTTTTGAGACTAATGTTCTTTGTTGTTAGCTGGAAAACGAAATAGTCAGACGTCTTTCTCCACTGGTATACCAGCTCAAATGGTATATTAACTAATCCAAAAACACTCATCTATGGATATTGTTTTAGCCTTCCAACTACTAACAGATACTTCATGCCATGCTAATCAATTTCCAATCAAACAGATCACAGCAAAACTAAAACCAGTTCCTTATCTTACATATTAGGCAACTTCTTACTAGAACTAATCCTTCGATCACCAGCTCTAATGCTTGCTATATAAGCTAATCTAATCACTCATCAACGGTTGTTTATGCCATGTAAACTACTAATAATCAAGCTCCCTCATTTACAAATTTAAATCTTTACAGAAAAAAACATAGAGAAAAGTCGATGGTACCTGCATAGAACGTGATTTGCCATCCACAACAGTTGATTCAACACAGTGACAAATGTCTTGGCCAATGATCCTGTGGAGAAACCATGGACCAGGAGCATGGATGGTGAGAGCACGTGTGGTGTGGAGTTTCCCAGTCTCAGTGTCAAGTTTACGGTTCAAGGTATCGACTTCAAGGATATGCGAAAGGATGCGTTTGTTTTCAGGGTCTGCAAACTTCCTCCATGAGGCAGCACTCACCCGCTCCCACGGATGCTTGTAGACATGCTCTTGTCTGTATGCTTTTACCATCAAGAATCTAAAAACCAACAATCAAATATATATTTGAAGAATGAATAGCACGGAACAACATGACAAGATTAATTAAACCCAAATCATGAATGTTTTCTGTGAATACATGAAACTGTAAACGAGAAATTTTATTACAACAACAACAAGTAAAAGGATTTCTCAGACAAGATGATAACTAGATCCAACCAAATGATTTGGTCTACAAAACATTGATTTTAGCTATGAGGAATACTAAATTTCAATAAACAAAGAAGAACAACACAACAATTTGGAGAATTTTAAAATTGATCTAATTACGGAAATTATAATTCCAAATTCGGGTATATATCCTTCAACGATTCCTACATCGGCTTCAAATCAAAACGCAATTTAGACACACGAGACAAGAATGACAGTTTCTGGCACTGAGCTAACAGAAATTGGAGGAAACAGATGAAGAAAGAAACGCACTTTAAGAGTTGACTCGGTGCTAATCGAGATTGGGAGGAAATTGTGAAAATTGGGAGGAGAGAAGTACCTTGAGAGGTCGGCAAATTCAAGATCTTGGTGAGCTCGGAGAAGTAATACCCCAAAAATGGAGGACGTGACGAGAGTAAATAGAGGAAGCAAATCAATGGCGGTGTTATAGAGAGAGAGACTTGCGGCTTATGTTTACGAACCACGATGCTACTCTCTCGTAGACGGCACAAGTTTTTGGGCCTTTATAAAAGCCCTATTCAGAGAGCTCATTCATTATTGGGTTTTATTTGTGTTAAGCAAAAACCCATAAATTATTGTCATACTCTGTGACTTTTTTTTTTCCTTTTTTTACTGTGCTACCATGTTTTTCTCATTTTCTTACATACATACACCTAATTTTATTCCTTTGCTTAGATTATGCAAAGTATGCAACTATGCATGCAGCAAAAAAAAAAAGGATTAGGCAAAGCATGGATATCCAATGTGCATTGGTTTTTGGTGAAGTTTCGTTCAAACATTTTCAACTCAAGGGACAAAAACCAGACATTGTGTTACTGTTTCAAGGCATTCAAGATCTGAAGGTAACAAGAAGATTTCTTGTTGCAGTTAATATTACACATTTTGAGTTTGATTTTTCTTAAGCAACTTTATATGCCGCTTTAGAGCCCTGCTTTCTCGACCATTTGTAGCCGTTTGCAAAAGAGTCATTGATAAGCTAACTTTGGTATTATTGAGTTAAGCAGTTTATATAGCAGTAACAAAATACAGACCGGTTATCAAAAGAAAAACAATTTTACCTAAATAAAATAAATCAACTACTTCAAACCGGAATCCAGTTTTATGTTTTATACGACGGTTGGTGGGCTAGCTTCGACCGGCCGGGTGAGAATATCAGTGATGTAACTCCGGATTTCAGGTATAATTTGCTTCACAAACTTTGCAAACCTGCGTTAGATAAATCAATCAAAACTTGATGAGTAAAAGGAAGTTAAATTTCCCAAAAAAACTGTTATTAACGATGTAATGATTTTGCATACCATAATTGAGAACTGAGCTTAGTGAAGTGCTCAAGAACAAAGAGCGTGCAAGCTCTTCTTAAGGCTGTAGCATTGAATGTATCTGCTAACTCATACATTTCTGGTATGTTATCCAGACAGATTTCCTGCACAAGTAAAGTCGATTTTATTAAAACACACAGATAGATTAGTCGCTCTGCCGGGAAAAAAAAATTAAGATCTCGGTTTTGCGTTTGTTACCTGTGAAATTGTGTATTCACATTGACGTTTGAGACCTTGGAGAAGATATTGATCAGCTGCTACAAGCAGATCTTTAGCCAAATGTTTGGTGATGTTAATTCTTCCTGAGTAAATGAACCTCATCATAAGCTCAAACACTTCCCATCTTATATTTGGGATCTCCACATTTTGAGCATTGCGTTCCTATAACCAATTCACAAGTTAGTTGACTGATTATAGCATGATGAGATAAATTACCACAATCGTAATTCAGAAGCTTACCTTGTAAAGACCATCAAACATTGCACGAAATATATCAGAGGAAGCTACCAAGCAAATCTTGTGAGCATAGAATTGTTTACCTAAAATATGCCATGGAATTAGTCAGTGAAAAAATGTTATCACAGGTGGACTATATAGAAACATAAATGGGGTTAGATGTTATACCACCAATTAGGAATGTGACATCAGACAGAGTAGGGTTGTTCACGAATTCTTCACCCAAAAACACCTTCAGTATAACAATCAATAACAAGTCAAGACCTCAAATCAGAAATTATTTGATGCTTGAAAGAAGAAATGAAGATTTTTTACCTGTTGGGTGGGTGAAGAAGGAGCTGAATCCTCCGGTGCAAAGGATGTAGCCTTTTTAGCTAATTCGTATAAAGCACATGAACTATATCTCTGCTGCTTGATGCTTGAGAAATAGAGAAGCTCCAACAAAAACTCTACTCCTGCATTAGTAATACGTGTATAGATCAGAAACAACAAACCAACAGAAAAGTTTATTAGAAAAAGAAATTCTGAATATGAGATGTTTACCATTGTTATCAATGAAAATTAGTTTTCCATCTTTAGGGTCACAAAGATGTGCAAGAGCCAGAGCAATTCGTATTTGTATAGTCTTCTCTGCGGTTCTCATTAGGTACAATAATTGGTTTAGTACCTGAGAAGGTTGAGACATCATGGGATTAAAACCATCGCCAAACTTAATTGAGAACCAGAAGTTCTAACAGAAATAGGTACTCACAGGTCCGTGAATCTTGTTCTGTAGCCTCTTCAATGTCCGAACCACACAATCTCTAGTCGGCTGCAAATAGATTACTTACAATTAGAGTTTGAAAATCCTATTAGATTAGTTTTGCATATATAAGCAGCCAAATGCATACTTGGACAGAAAAGTTGTCATCTTGAAGCTTTTGAATACCTCCAGCCTTTACGAAATCTGCTACGTTTTCCTATTGACGGGAAAATTAATTAAGCACTCATGGTATGTCAAGTAAACAAAAAGTATAGCTGTATGTAAAAATATTCATTGCGAGTCTAGTTTACCTCGTTATCTGCAAGGCCATACAAAGCAAAGGCAGCATTGTGTTGCACAGACCCCGTTTTCACATCAAGAAGATTTAGTAATGAGATGATGCCTCCTCTATGTGCAATGCCAGCTTGATTGTGTGCGTCCTGCAAAATTCAAAACATAAAACTTTTGTTCTTATCACAAAAGGTCTGATTTAACGATCAGCTATAAAGAGTCAGATTCCAGAAGCAACAAAAACATCAAATGCTAATTCAGAAACATAAATACCTGAGCCAAACGACCAAGAGCAAAAGCTGACATTTCCACGACCTGCTCATCTGATGATTCAAGCATCTTAATCAGTGGTGTAATGGCACCTCTCTGGGCAATGTGCACCTGCATGATCATGTTGCCAGTTATGTTTAATATGTTCTTTCTAGTTTGAATCCACCCAGTTATATCGTTAAAAACCCCTAGTTTGAGTGAATATATGCTAAGATTATAGTGCAACAAGAAAGAGACAAGCCCATACCTTGCAATCTGAATCAGGCGCAGCAAATTGACCTATTAATAATGCTGCTTCTCTCTGTGTTTCCAAACAAGTGGAGCTGTAGCAGATATCATGGAAAACAGTTACAAAACATATTTCAGATTTTCGAGAGTTAGCATGTTTTAGCAGAAGTAGAAAGATAGTAAAACAAGCATACCTAAGTAGACTAATTACTGGTTGTAAGGCACCAGCACGGATAACCTCTTTCTTGATGTCAGGAGATGAGTGGACAAGATTTCCAATTGCCCCAATCTGAAAAGTCCAAAGTACATTAGAAAGAACTGAACAAAGCAAACAAATTGCAACAATCTAAAGCAAGATGAAGAACCAACCGCTTCCCCGTGCACAGAAGAATCTTTTGATTGAAGCATCAATACAAGCGTGGGTAAAGCATTCAATTCCACAATCTACACAGTTGCTTATTATGTGAGAAACATGCCTCTCATAAGCCTAACCAATACATAATCACAGTAAAAACATACTTGGGTCTTGTTCTCGTCGTTTCTAAATGAAATTGTTCGCAATGCTCCTGCTGCAGCCCTCTGTACTTTAACATCCGGAAAATTTAGAAGCTCAACAAGTGGTGGAATGCCACCTTCAACCCTGTAAAGAATTTGTAAAAGGTGTCAAGTGAAAACAGCTAGTCATTACCATAACCAATAAGGATCATCAGCTATTAGTACCTTATATTTGTTTTAATCCTTGGATTGTCATGAGCAATGTTAGTGATTATATCAGCGGCTCTCCTAATAGCAGCATTAACAAACATGCATCCACCAGGACCACCACATATCACCCGTCTCTTCAACAACTTCACGGTGGGAACTATGGCTCCAGCATCCACAATGAGCTGCTGGTAACCAGGCTATTTAACAGAGAGAGCAAACATCAGTAAATCGCCCATTTCAAAAATTCTAATGATAACTTCCAACAGAGATTGAAACTACACAACTTCATCAAAAAACAGCGAAAGAAGGTTAACCTGAATCGCAGCAATAAGTCCAAGAGCAATAGCACAATCTCTCTCTAGCTTATGATCGCAAGAGTTGGGAACATCCCCGCCAACTTCCAAAGGCCACGGGCATTCCAGATATTTCACCAGAGCAGGGATTGCTCCATTTTCCACGATGATTTCCACATTTTCGTCTATACAAACAGATACGAATATAAATTAAGCCAAAAAAAATAACACTACTAGGTCTCGCCTCTGCTGAAATCAAATAACTATGAGCTACAGCAAAAATGCGAGGTAGAATCCAAAATCAATGTAAATCCATCGGATCAAAATTGCTAAGTAGCACATAAACTTGAGCATCTCGAAGACTAGCAAGCAAAAAGAGTGAATCGAGTTCGATATAACCACCGATTAGAGGATAGATGAAGAAGTACGGTACCGATTTTAGCTAAATCGGCGATATCAGCAGCAGCTTCGTTGACAGCCTCGCGATCAAAATCAGGATCTGAGAAGCAGGAGTTAAGAACCTCGACGTGACGGCGGATGGCGACAACGAGATCTAGGTGTTCGTCATCAACATCAATAAATTGCGTGACGATTGGCGCTACATCTGTGTTCGGACTGAGTTTTCGCTTCAAGTTTCTGGCGGCGAGGCACGTTGTTCGCTGGCGCTTGGGGTTCTCCATTGGCGGATGGTTTGAGATCACCGGCGCAGTCGAAGATCTGACGGAGAATTTGAGCGCTGCTTTGAACGATTTTGAGATTATCATTGGAGTAGAGAGAGCTTTTTCTTTATAATACCAAAGCGTATTGGCGGTTCTGTGAAATTTTGTTTTCATTTTAGGAGCCAAATTGAATTTTTCCCTCGTAGTCGTTCCACTTGGAGGGAATTTATTATTTTTTTCCATTTTTTGTTTATTTTTGGTCAAAAACGCTTTAAAGAGATTTTCCACATTAAAAATCCTTCTTTAAAGCATTAATTCATTAAAAAAAGCTAGTATTAAAAAAAATCCTGCACACATATGGTGAAATTTATCATTTGATATCTTGTCCCGTTTACCGCGCAAATTTGAATATGTAAAAAAAAAGTTTAATCTAGCTTTCGGATATATACTAAAAAAAATAATTCATCGAAAAACAGTTTTGGATTCGGATATCTTGAATTTAATGACCACATATTTAATATAGATCTGCAAAATTTATGAAATATTGTTTTACATGTTTTTGTAAACGTGATCAACACGTTTTTCTATCTAGTTAAAAAATGTTTTTGATGGTTTCAGATGTCAAATTTTCAGTTTACCCGACAGTTGATCTCGTGTTTACCTCATTGATGCACAAGCCATTTATCATTACAAGTCCAAAAGAAACCTAACAAACCTCGATGCAATGATGAAATCAAATATGAGAATCATGGTCTTATTTCCTCTGAAATTTCAAGTTTGTGAAATAATTGAAAAGAATATGTTATATGCACTCAACAAGAAGGTGTAACTCGCATGTAATCAGATATCTTGATTTTAATGACCATATATGCAAAATATATCCACTAAATATATGAGAGAGGTAAGCTTTAATCTCTTTTCATCAAAAGCCAATTCGCTAGGGATATTGCTTGTAGTGTGACAAAGGAGGGATGTTTTAATTCGTATATGGCGTTAGGAGGTCTGTCGTTGCTTCAAGATCGGATTGAGAGGGAGCTTTCAGCGGGTTGACGAGGATGCTTTGTAGTTCATGTTTTTGGTTTTTTCGTTTTTTGCTCTGTTTCAATATGCTATGTTTTCTGATATCACATTTATTCAATAAAATAAAACGTGAATATATAGATATGTATATAAAAATATAAATATCAAAGATTATTTTATATTTTTTGTAAATCTATATAGAAAATTTATAAAAAACAAAATAACGTGATCAACACGTTTCTTCGCTCTAGTTAAATTTCTCTTTTTGATGGTTTCAGATACGAAATCTCGAGTTTGCCTAATTGGTTCACAAGCCATTGATCATTATTAGTCCAAAAGAAGCCTAACAAATCCCAATGCAAAGTCGAAATCAAATATGAGAATCAGAGTTTTATTTCTTTCAAAATTTCAAATTTTGAAAAACAGTTATCTGCACTCACCAAGAAGATGTAGCTCTCATGTAACAGTTGATTTCCTATTATCACGATTCGGGAAGGAGATAATTTAACTCAAGATCTATTTATTCATAAATTATTTTGCTATTGGTAAACCATTCAAACAATTTGTTGGAGCAGCCTGTTCCGGCTCCTGTTAAAGTGAAATGGGATCCTCCTCCACATGAATGGTTAAAATGTAATGTTGGATCATCATGGGACAGGACTGGAAGAATTGGAGAAGCTGCGTGGGTTCTTAGAAATGAGTTTGGAGATGTCTTGTCTCATGCTAGAAGGTCCTTTGCAGAGGTAAATAGCAAACTGGACGCTAGTATTGTTTGTTGGCAATGGGCTTTGGAGAGTATGAAAAGCCTAAATGTTGACAAGATAATTTTTGGTTCTGAGGACAAGGAACTCATAGGTGCTGTTTTAAGACCACCTGCTTGGCCCTCTTTTAAGTTTCATGGCATTGATCTCTTAAGGAATTTTTTGGTTTGGAAACTGGTTGGTGCAGAAAGGAGCTCAAATCTTGGAGCCCATCTAATAGCTAGAAGTGTAACAAAAGAGGATCGCCGCCAATCGTACGTAGCAACCGGGTTTCCTCTATGGTTAAAACATCTTTTTGAAGAAGAAAGTAGTATTGCTTAGTGTAATACTCATTAGGGTTGATCTACAATGATTGTCTTTGATCCGTTACCCATTTTTCGTATGTTTACTCGTAATCATAAAATATATATCAATCTTTCAGTGAAAAAAAAAAAAAACCATTCAAACAATTCATTTTTTACCATTGCAATAGTAAAATTTAAATTTGAATGTGTAAGAATCTTAACTTAACAAACGACCAAATTAACATGTATAATACCAGTTAGATTGTGTGAAACAAAAATTGTCCCAATCCCTTTTCTAGATGAAAAAAAATAGTATTAAAAAATGATATTTTCATATATTTTATATGAATATTCTTCTTCTTTTCTATATCAAATCCCAATCCCTTATTGGCTTATTTGGCATCTTTCGGAACAAACTGCTCCATAAACCTCTAAACTTTATGTCATATATATTGTTAACTTGCGGTCAAAAGATTATTTGGCAATGGATATATCATGGGTATCTATTTGAGTTTTTTTTGGTTGGTTAGTGGTTATCTGCTAGAGTTAAGTTTAATAAGATTGCATTATGGATTTCATTGTGCGATTACAATAAACCTTTTGTAACTCAAGCTTAAGTTTTGAAGAGTTTAAACGAAGCTGCAATTAATTACCTTGGGAGTGATTATAGAGCTTAAGGATACTTGATGATTCCAGATCTAAAACTTGCAACAACATTAACGAAATCCATAAAAAGGGTGCATGTCTAAGAATAGTCATTTCAAACAAGAAGTACAGATTCTTCTCCTCGAAATTACGCCTCGCTACCGGAACCACTACTCTGAGGGCCACCTGAGGTCGAGTTCGACGCCTCTTGCTGGTTTGCTGCTGCTGGATCTACCGCCGCAACTTCCGCTGGAACTGGCTGCAACAGATCTACAATGATAGCCGTATGGTATGATTAATCACCCGAGTCCGCACCGCTTGAAGGTGTTGTGGTAGAAGAGCATTCTGAGAGTACTCCAAAAGGGCATTCCAGTTGTCTGTGGTTGTATCTAGCAATTCATTAGCCTCTAATACTAGCTCTGCAATTACATCACCCATGCTCACCTGAGAATCAAACCAAATTAAGTGCAAAGATTGCAAGCTGAAAATCAACAATACCTCAAAGAAAGACCCAAACCCTAGACAGCGAGAGAACAATGGAAATCAGCTGCATTTGCTTAATTAATCTTGCTAAGAAGAAGGATACTGCCAAATTTAACAAAACCAGATGAGACCTAGTGACAGCTAAACTATCTGACGTTTCTATGGAGGAAATCGAGAACAAATCGATGGCAGAAGCTACGGAACTAGAGAAAACCAAAGATGCTCCACAAAAAAATGATGCGAAGCACAACGATCATCTTGACTTCGTGAAAGGAGAAGAATACACGAAACACCATGAAAGAGGAAATGAGAGCTTACCCAGGGAAAAACTCGCGTTGAATATCTGACGAATTGCAGACACCAAAATGCTATAAATGTGGAAACCCTTAATCATGAAATGAAGAATGTCTGTTTTACTTGAATTAAAGGCCTGACTTTACCTGTTTGGACCCATGATTATCTTTATCCTTGACAGGATACTAGCTGGATGCAATATGAACCGGAAAATAGACCGAAATAAACTCGGTTAATTATTAACCAACTATTGGACGCTTTGGTGTTAGACAGTTTGTAGTAGGCCTGGGCTTTCGGTTATCTGTTGGGTCCATTCGGTTTTCGGTTCTTTTGGTTTTAAAATTTAGTATCCATTCGGATATTTTGGGTTTCAAAATTTAGTATCTATTCGGTTATTTTGCTTAGGATATTTTCGAATATTTCGGTTATTTTTGACCGTGGGTTTAAGTTCTTTAACTACATTCGGTTATTTTAAACCGAACCGTGGGTTTAAGTTCTTCGGATATTTTCGGATATTTCGGTCCGATTAAGTTCTTTAACCGTGGGTTTAATCGCAACTTCCCGAAATCAGACTTGGTAGGCCGGGGCTGTTATTGGGCTCTTGGTTCGAAAACTTCATTTCTTCGTTATTATTTTGATGCTTGCTTAAGTGGTTTGTTGCTTCAGTGTATGTACTGAAATTCGAAGTAATGCATTGTTGTGACAAAAGAAAATGACATGATATCCGTTTATAGCACACATATGAAAGTGAAAAATCTTGTTCACACGATACAAAAAATGAGTAATAAATATCTTCAGGTACTCTCTCATTCGTAATGGGTGGACTAATGGGCTTAATCTTAAAACAAGCTCGGCCATGTTTTTCCCAAAATAAATGGGCCATTGTGGGATACGTTCCGGCCCGTGCCAACCATAACATCCGTATATGTAACGATGCTCCGTGAAGATGTAGAGTTTGCTCACGAACATTACCAGGTGGGAATCTCGATTCTGAGACCTTTCCTGCACAAGTTTGTTCTTGTTGTTTTTTTGTACCAATTGTGTTTGTTGCTCCTTACGCGTAACTAATTTATATAATTGTTGATGTTTAAATTTTAGGGTTTCGTTTTGGGGATTTCAGATCTGAAGCAATTAGGGATGGTTCGTGATAATAATAATCCCGGAAGTTCCTCAAGATCGAGAAGGCCATACCGTAGTTTCCCAACCATATTATATGAGATGGTGGACGATCCTTCAACGGATTCAATGATCTCGTGGAGCGAGAGCGGCAAGAGTTTCATCATTTGGAATCAACCTGAGTTTTGCAATAATGTTCTTCCCAAATACATACTAAGAAACGATATGTCAATTTTCAAGACCTTCGTAAGTTTGTTTTTTTTTTTTTTTTTCACTTTTGTTGGTGGTTGAATAAATTGAAGGAACCAATATGTGGATCTTCCTAATGTTGTAGGGGTTTAGAAAAGTTGACTCTGAGCGATGGGAATATGCAAATGATGATTTTGTAAGAGGTAAACCTGAGCTTACGGCGGAGATACAGAAACGGTTCATGGCAACTGTACCTCCTGAAGTTTTTGTGTGTAAGAATGCAGCCAAAGCAGCGAGAGACATGGAGAGAGTCAGAGCTGTAGCAATGGCTATGAAGGAGAGAGCTTTAGCAAAGAATCTATCTAACCTCACTTTATGATTTCATCACTCTTCTTCTTCTTCTTCTTTCATTTGTTACCACCATTTCAATAGTGAAAGCCTCCAAGGAACATGCACATGAAGAGAAATCGCATGTGAGAAGGGGAATTTCTAATCCTACTTTAAGGATCCCTTGTCCTTCATGACCTATCTAATAGACCGGATGAACATTTCACTAAATCAATCAACACGTCTTCAAACAAAACCAGATTTCCATATGAAGAGAAGTCGATCCGATCGTCGTCTAACGTTTTTAAGGAGAGAAATTAATTGTGCATATGAAAATAAGAAATGCACTATAGTGGTTACATTAGAAGCTGGCATGAATCGCGTTACTGTGCAAACAAATCGATTGCAGAAACTACGGAACCAGAGAAAGCCAAAAAATGATGCGAAGAACAACGATTATATGCAAAATAAAAAACAGAAACGAAAAGCCATCATCATCGTGACTTGGTGAACGATCGACGTTAAAGGAGAAGAAGAAGAAACGAAACATCATGAGAGAAAATGAGAGCTTACCCAGAGTTTTTCTCTCTAGACGAATTGCAGAGACCAACAAAACAAATGCAATTATTGTGGAAAGAGTGTTCTTTTACTTGAGACATGCCTTGCGTCACCTGTTTGGGCACACGATTATTTTTATCCCTAACCAGAATAATGTACAAATCTGCGTGGCCTCCAATAGACCGGTCAATTTGATCAACCGGAAATCAAAATAGACCGAAATTTATTCGCTTTTTGGTCAGGAAATACCAATGCATAGACCGAATTAACAATAATAATTGTACACCTTTGTAAGTTTTCTACTTTTCATTTTTTTTTTGATAAGATTAGTTAAGTAAAGGAAACTACTGTCTTTGATCTTCATGCAATATAGGGGTTTAGAAAAGTTGAGTCTGATCAATGGGAATATGCAAACGATGATTTTGAGAGAGGTAAACCTGAGCTTACGGAGGAGATACAGAAGCGCTTCTTGGCTAGTCTATCCCCTGAAGCTTTTGTGTTTAAGAGATCTGCAGAAGATGCCAGAGTCATAGAGAGAACCAGAGCTTTACGAATGGCTATGAAGGAGAGAGCTTTAGCTAAGAATCTATCTAACCTCACTTTATGAGTTCATCACTCTTCTTCTTTCCATTTTGTATCAATGACAACCCCTTACTGGCTTTGTGAGAGATAATGAAATTTGGCTTTCAGTGCCTAAAAAAGACTATGATTCTTTAAACATTTTTTTGGTAATAGCACAAGACAATTTGATTCTTGATTAGTTTTGTGTGTAGTAGTAAGTAACTTTGATTGGTTTTGTATGAAGAAACTTTGAAAGACAGATGAAGATTTAGTTATATCTGGAGTTTATGGATTTCAGGCTACCAATGCTTTTATACAACTTAACAACAATATCATGTGTAGAGGAAGAACAATATTTTGAAGCTTGCCCATTTTGCAATTTCATGTTTGGATATATGAGCCACTCATCTTGGGATTGTTTAGCCTGGTTTTACTAAAATCTTGTTCTAATGTTCATTTATCTCCCCTTCCACTTTGGATTAACAACATTAGTCTTCACTTCACGAAACTATTCTTAGTGATGAGGTTCACGTTTTGTCGTTTATGGTTTGGAATAATTTCCCTGCAGTTTTTTTTTTCTTAAAGAAAGAAAAAAAAAAAACGGTATTCGACGGGAACTTGTAATGATTGGAGCTCGCGTCTTTTGTATCAGCACGACAGCACTACAAAGATCATCAATCTTCTTCTTCCCCAAGATCCCGACCCGACCCGTTTTCAGATTATTATCACCCGCAATCGTCGCCATGAGCACCACCAGCAAAAGCCAAGAGGAACTCGATTCCATTTTCAAGCAGAAACGGGTCGTGCGCTCCACTGTCCGCAAATCCCTAAAGGCCATGGACCCTTCTCTCCGAACCCAACAAGGTTCAATCTTTTTTTCTTGTTTCCATTTTTCTTGTTCTATTTTCGAAACTAATCTTGGATTACATTTGATTGTAGATGAGTCCATTCAAAAGACTGTTCTTGAAGCTCCCTGGTTCAAATCATGTAAGAGATTGTGTGCTTACATTAGCTGCAAGCCTCTCAATGAAGTCGACACTTCTAAAATACTCTCTGAGATTCTGCAACATCCTGGTACACCTCTCTTTGAAATTTCATTCCGAGTCATGAGATTGATATAAAAGGAAGCCCTTTACATTGTAATCACATGTCGCTGTATTGCTCAACCACAGAAGGAACTGATAAGTTTGGGAACCGGGATAAACCAGTAACAAACCAAACTTAAAGAACATAATTGTAACATACGGATGAAAAAGTTATATGTCCTGCATTTGTTCTCTGATGAGTTTCCTCTGCAATTTTTGTTGTTGTTTAGATTCAAATACTCAGAAAAAGTTATATGTCCCTTGGGTGGAGGATAAGAACAGTAACATGCGTATGCTTCACATATCTCATATGGAAGACCTTATTGCAAACTCGATGAACATTTTGGAACCAGCTCCTGTTGATGCCCAGGGGAATGAGCGTGAAGATGGTAGTGTTCTTGTTTCTACGTTTCCAACACTATAAGCTTTTACATAATGAGTATAAGCCTGCCTTCTTGAAATTATAACCATTTTTTTCTATTGACAGTGTTCCAAGCTGATGAACCGATCGATTTGTTCATCTTGCCAGGTATAGAGAAACTGATTCATTTCCAAAACTTTTATCTCTGTATCTAATCAACTTTTATTTTCAAATCCTTATTGTCAGGTCTTGCTTTTGACAGATGTGGGCGACGTTTAGGCCGTGGAGGTGGGTAAGTTTCCTTTGACCTTAAGTTTTTCTTTCCATCATGGTTCTTTACTTCTATACTAAGGGTACTGCTGAAGATCTCAAAGCAGTATCATATCCGAATAATATAAAGCTTTTGTTAAGCATTGTTCCCGTTGTATTACTTTGTAAAGCGATTACACAATCTTAGTCTTATTTCTTCCCTTACCTTCTGTCATAACACAAAAATCTTGCCACCCCCAAAGAATGTAGTTTCATACTTGCAATTAGAAATGCTTTGTCATGCTCTAATCTAATTCCTTGATACTTGTTTGTATGGATAACTCATACGGGTAAAAGCTACTATGACACTTTCTTGAAGAGATACCAGGACCGTGTGAAGGAGAAGGATTGGAGATATCCACTTATGGGTATAGACCACAATCAAATTGATACTACAAAATGTTTTCAATAGAAAGATAAGCTAACCACTGTCTTTTTTCCTACTGCAGTTGCATTGTCATACTCGCCTCAAATTCTTGAGGATGGAAGTATTCCTGTAACACCGAATGATGTTCTGATCGATGCCCTTGTGACACCTTCTGGTGTGGTTCCCATTACCCCTCGTGCTATCGAGAGGTACGCCATGAAACGTTTTTTGCTTTCTCGTAGATCTTTTATTTATAGCTGACCATGTTGTGTGATTCTCTCTGTTCTTAGCATGTGAGCTCAGGAGCTTGTGTTTGGAGCTGACACTCAGCTGATTCGTTAGTTGGCGCTTGAAGGCTACATTCTGGAATTTGCTATTTCAGTATCAGCTTCTGTAGTTGCCACTAAGTTTTTTTCCTAAACTCAATTCGAGTCTTGTTCTTGTATGATCAGATATGAAAGAAGATTGATCCAATGGCCTCTCACCTGTTTATGCCATATCAAGTTTTCCTGTAATAACTAGCTTGTTTTTATCGCACAAGATGTTACTGGTTCTTGGGTTCTTTTCTTGAGCTTTGCTCATGGGAATTATATGTACTCAAATCTTTATTCAATGTAAAAACAAAATAGAGAAAACATCGAAGTTTTTCTTGTTTCTTTAAAGCATTACAGCCATACACATATAAGAGTGTGTTACTTTATCCTCTTCCTTTCTATAAATGGCAAAACAAAAGCAGGAAGGAGAACTAGGAGGAACAAGAAAGCATGCAGACGCCTGGCCTGTAAGCCCAGGCTGGAGGCAACCGAGCATATTTCTCCATACCTGGCTGTTCCTCATACGGTCGTTTCATTAGACGGATCAAATTGTTGACTTCTGAGAAATCGCCTTGTTCAGCTGCATCTATTGCGCTTTGGCACAGATAGTTCCTCAGAATGTACTTTGGGTTCACTGAATCCATTCTTGCTTTTCTTTCTTCATCTGATACCTCACTACCACCCACCTGCAATTTCAAATCCACACACAGCTAGGAGTTGCATCAGCCAGGAAGATACAGGGATAAAGAGTGTAACTGTAACTTTGTGGAAAGTAAGATTGGAGTTTAAGAAGAACTGAAGGTGGAATCTTTGGGAAAAATGTAAGAAAATACCTCTTGTATATAGCTTCGCATCCATTTGATCCATGCTTCTTTTCTCTCCTTTCCGATGTCCAAGAGCACAGCTTTCAAGGGTTTCAATAACTCATTTTCAGGTGTGTTGGGATTTGCTTTTACATTTGCAAGAAGCCGGAAGAAGTTTGTGTAATCAACTTTATCAACAGACATATTGTTCAGAAGTTTACTAATGACCTCCTTGTTATACTTGGAAAGACCAAGCTTCTTTGACATTATGGCTTGATACTCATCCATGAATTTATCACCGTACCTGAATCACGAGTCCCTCAACTACTTAGTAGTTCCTAAAATATAAGAAAGAATAGTGCTCCAAATCAGTAGTGACGAACAAAGTTACCTTTCCATGGCGTAATTCGCCTCCTTTTGATTTATCAGCTGAGCAACTGCCAGAGTCTTAGAAAATTGAGCAATATTCCACAAGCCAATGTCAGGCTGATTTGCAAAACAGTATCTTCTTCCTGGGAGATCTGTCGTGTTCGGGGTGTAACTAGGATCAAAAGCATCCAAGAACCCAAATGGGCCATAGTCAATGGTTTGACCCAAAATGCTCATATTGTCAGTGTTGAGCACACCATGGGTGAAACCTACACCTTGCCATCTTGCAACTAAGGTAGCTGTACGCTCAGCAATTTCAACGATCCATGCTAATATAAGGCAGAAGAGTTAGTTCAAATATTGGCCATTAATATAACTATTGGCATAGCAAAGGTATAATAAGTGATACAAATGAAAATAATGGTGTTTCATGCAGTGTTTTGACGAATGCTTCATTAGGGAATTACCTGCATACTTGTTGGAAGTTAGATCAACAACCGAATC